AATAAGAGTACAGAACCAAGGTGTTATGACTGTGGAAGTATACGGCACGTACATTCTTTATGTCCATGCGTAAAGCATACAAACAAAAGTTTGTGGCTTTGAGGTCTGGATAATGGACATCCAGATTATGGACTTTGTACTGTATATGATAAAATTATATTACAGATGCAGAAACCAAATCCCTTACCTCACAGAAGAAAGTAAAAGATACTTTTAAAAAAGAAAGACTGATTTTGATATGCTTTTGGATGTCACTAGACAGTTAACAAAGCTTATCAAAACCAGATGTTTTTTCTGATTCCATTTCAGATTTTAGGTGAATTTCCTTTATTGGAAACACTTTAATTTAATTTAACATATGAACAGATATTTATCAATAAAGAAATATTTTTTTAATTTAATAACTTTTTTTAATTACTTTAATTTTTATAATTTTGAAAAAAAAAAAAAAAAAAAAAAAAACCTTTTGCATGAAACAGAAATTCAGTGAATTCAAACACTGCATTTTGCATCAGGTTTGTTACACTTTAATTTTTATCATTGTTGATTTATAGTTACAAACCCTTAACTGATGATTTATTTTAATAATATTTAATTCTTCATTAGCTATAAGAATTTCAAAATCTCCGTCACGTAGGTAAAGCACCAAACACATACTTGCCAACCTATGACACTAAAAAATAAGGAGATTTTCTTAAGAAATCAGGAGAATTTTTTGAATGCCAAAAAGATTTTTCAAAAATAAAAATATGTAGAAAGAAAATATAATTTTTAATAATGAAATAACTTCAAATAGAAACTAATTTATATCTGAATGTTCAGTTATTATTTCTTAAATGCAAATATAGGAAAAGTACTTATATGAAAAAGAAAAGAGAGAGAGTTTTAATACTTGTACTTTCTAATAATAGAAAAATAACCAGGTTCACTAAGCATTAAATAATACTTCCACCAGACCACTAATCATGATTGCAGAACATGAATTAATGCAATTCTCCACTGTAGAACTGTATTAAGAACATTGAATGATGGCAAAATGGAGCGTACAAAAAAGGAAAAAGCTTTCTTAAGGTCCAAAGACAAAACAAATATTTGTTCTTTACAAGATAAACTTACAATAATTGGAAAATATGTCCTTTGTCAAGCATTTTCTTTATTTTGATGAGAACTGTACACTTATATTTTGGAGAACGAGAACTGCCTAAATTGCTTGCAGTGCAAAAATTACTTAAATTTTTCTCACTCTTTCTTTTGAACATAGAGCTCTAAGATCTAATCTCTATACCTCATAGCAGTTGCAAAGTCTTTCTCAAATACATGCAAGGGCATCATGCGGCCATACAGCATAATACCTACCAAACCATTACACATCCATCACCACAATGATCCTTTTCTGTGATGAGGGGCATTGTGTTCCAAGCTCTCTCTAGATACAGGTATGCCGAGAATCAGTGTCTAGGCTGAATCTTAACTCATCTACAAAAAGCAGTGCTTTAGTTAAGTCTGGTCCAAGATGCATGCTAAATGCATTCTCTTGTATGCTACAGTAAATGGGGCACAAATACCAGGTCTTCTAGTATATAACCTTAAGTCTTTGGTCAACTGTAGGCCATGGGACTTAAGTTCCACTGGCAGACTACAGATCATGTGAGAGCTGCGAATTTGCAGCAGTCCTGTGCCACTGTGCTGAAAGTGCCAAATAACAATCCTTATTCATGGTTGTGAATTTTGGTCAATCTTGTCCAGGTTTTCTCGATATGGATCAAGTGTCTTGAAACTGTTTCCACAAATTGCATAAAATACTGGGCATTACACTGAGCTCTGTGACAGCTGTGCTTGTGATCAGCCAATCTCCAGTCCACCGGCAATATCCCTCATCCATATGCCTGAGGCTACTCATTTTACTTGATACTTTATAAAATTGATCCAACTCTTGATAGAAACATAGCAAATGTTGAAAAGTAGCATAAGCACACTAATCGAAGAAAAAGCATGCGCTTATATAAAAAGCATGAGCGTTGCAGACACACACATGTATGCTTATGCGTTTGACTAAGAAAATTCACATAATTCCATAGTGGCACAATTAGTATCATTGATTCAATACTTTTTGTAAAAATAGACATAATTTGCAAATTTGCTTAATTTTGCACACAAGCATACTTAGATTAAAAAAAAAAAAAAAAAAAAAAAAAAAAAAAAAAAAAAACTGGCATATTAAGAGAACATACAAAAATTAAACATACATTTTTTTAGAAATTTTCAAAAAACTAATATAGCAAATCTTAAAAAAACATTTCACCTTTTCAGGAATCCCTATTTTCAAAATATGCTCTCTGTCAGACTCATCAACATATTTTAAATGTACAACATGAAAATCGGGGCTGATGTAACGGACCCTTAAAAAAACAAAATCGAATCAAACCCCCACGTAAATAATTTCAAACACAATAGCTATCAAATCTGATAAGAATACATAAAAAAGTTAACATTATCATTTTGGTCTGGCATATCTTTTAATAAATTTTGTGGCCACTTTTCATTGGAAAATGCTTTAAAATTGGTTTAAGTTTATGTCTTATAAAAATTTCAGTTATTGAATATTATAAACTTCACACCTAGAAACTCTGTAAATTAATACTATTGAAAAAGCTAAAAATTGTTAAGTACTGCAAATTTGAATTCTTTTATTGATAATCAGATACATAAATCTCTTACTTTCTGCCTTGATTCATGACCAGAAAGTTCACTGATCATTTTGAATTTTTTTAAACAAAATATTACACAAGAGATTTGTAACTCCATCATAAAGCATAAATAGGATTATGATTCGAATCAATGCCAAACAGAGCAATTTAGCACCAATAATAGATAAACATGGCATCACAACTCAATCCTAAGATTTTTAACATGGCAACCATGAATAAGGATTGTAAAACTGATTAATCCTCAATCAGTTTAATTGTAAAAAAAAAAAAAAAAAAAAAACTTAAAAAAACAGTTAGCAACAACTGTTTTGGTGATGTCATCCCACACACCTTCTCTATCTATGTGGCCAATTTCAAATAATTCGATCACACCAGTTGGGAGTACTGCGTCATTGAGTGAATATGTGTAAATGCATTCTGCCGGAAAAATTCTAATGTTAAAAACCGAACATTTTAATAACCTCAATTTCATGTGAAAACTTAGAAATCAGTCATGAAAACATCAAATCGACTGAGCTTATGGAGATGAAAACTTCTCTTTGCCGTGTGTTTGAATGGCATAAGTGGTTTTCAGGTGGAAGGGACAAAGCACGCATGTCAAAATCAAAATTCAAGGCAATGTTAATTGTCTTCTTTGACATTAATGGAATTGTAATGATTGAGTTGGTTCCCAGGGGTCAGACTGGTAATCAACACTACTACACTGAAGTACTAAAAAGACATCATGAAAAAAATTAGAGAAAAAAGGGAGTGATGGGCGGCTGTTGCACCAGGACAATGCACCCGCTCACACAGCCCATATCTGTCAAGCAGTTTCTGACCAGCAAAATCCTTACTGTGATGGGGTATCCTCCTTATTCACCTGATTTGGCTCCATGTGACTCTTTTTTATTTCCTCAATTTAAATCTTGCTTAAAGGAAAGCCTTTTTACCTCAGTTGAAGAGGTTCAGGCAAAAAAAACGGAGAATCTTCTGAAGGGCCTTCCAAAAACCTCGTTCCAGAACTGTTACAAGCAATGGCGGCAGTGAATGCAGAAGTGTGTGAATGCTGAAGGGGACTACCTTAAAGGTCACAATGCCATGGAGAACTGATTTTGTAAGTACAATGATTTATTGGACCAGTCTTATTTTCTTTTGTGTCACAACTCGTACGTTAACTGCAGTTTATCTGCTTTTCAACTGTATTTTGAAAAATAAATAAATAAATAAATAAATAAAATTTGAGACTTGCTTTCAATAGAATAGTAAGCAGTAGAGAATTTTCAAAATTACAGGATCCTGACTTTAAGATATTGCACGACTTATGTGAAAATAGGAAATATGGCAACTTAATGTGAAAATGGCACTGGCTGCACAGAATGAAAAATTATGACAAGCGATTTAAGTTTTTTACATTTTATGTCCATAACTTGCCAATTATCTACCAAAATAATGAGTGATCTGTTCTTTAAAACTTCTGCCAGAATAAATGGTTCTAGTTTGGCAAGATCTCTCTTAATTTTTATGGTCAACATAATTTCATAATCAAATACAATGTTTTTCTTTTCCACGTGTGTCTGAAATGGTGTGTTTTCTTTCGAAATCTCACATAATTTTTAAGTATGCATTTGATATTCAAGTTGATAACATATAAAATGACTTTTTTTTATAATTTCAGATCAGAAATTTTTTCTTCCACTCATTTAGCTTTTCTAACCTGAATTATAATTTTTCTATGCTCAGTTATCTAAAATTTTCACATATCCAGAATTTGGTATTTCCTGAGCTTTCCAGATAATTGAGCTTTTACTGTAATAAGAAAATAACACTCATATTTAATAAAATGAAATCATTTAAAAACTTTTAATAGAGAAATTTTTTATAATTGGTCATACTTGTCCCAACCACAGGTATGTAGTTGCTCTAACAAAGCATTATACTCTGAATGAGGTTCCATACTGTATGACATACCTTTAGATCGAATTTGTTGTTCCTGTGCAAATGATATATACACAATGAATAAATTTATCTTATAACATTTCACATTCATATCTAAAAAGATCGTTAATATGAAACTTACTATTGCATTTTGTATTTCATGCAACATGTCGTTTACAGTACCACTTTGATGCAGATGCTGAAAGAGAAATGCAACTATTGGAAGAGATAATAACAATTACTTCATGCAACAAACATATTAAACAAACATCTGTCATTGGTATGAGACTTAAGCACTATATAGGTGATAGTATGACTTAGTTAAATTCCACCCCAATTTTAAAAGGCAGCACAGTGGAGGTTAAGTCTGAGGATCTTCCACCTCTTCCTCTAATATCAAACCATTCGAGAGAACTTCTGGCTTGCTACACATTTTGTGCCCCCATGCTGCACTAACATTATGTATTTACAAACATCCATACCTTCTCTGGGATTCGAACACAGGCCTTTCAATACAGCAAGCAGCCAGTATCACTAACCACTGTATTGTCTGAGAGGAGGAAAAAATATTGCATGGAGTTAAATACAGATACTATAATAGAATAAAATTTTGGTTATGTCCTTTGTTATAAATCTTTAAAACAGCAGTTCTTAACCTTTTTAGTGGTCAGCACCTCCTTGAATCTGAAAATAACCACATCCTCTTAAAAATGTGCGTATATTTTTTATTTAAGAAGAAAACATTTAATGCATAAACAAAAAACAAGTGCCATGTTTATTTACAATATATCGGGTTAGTCCATAAGTTCGTGTGCATTAAGAGTATGGGTGGAATTCACTATTCGCATTTACTAAAACAATACAATTTTGAACCTGTTGAAACTTGTCATCGTTTGACCAACATATTATTCAGTTCATCACCAACTTTCGTAAATATCGAACACATTTTAGTACCCATAGAAGATGAATATAGATAATCAGTACAAACATGTTGTGTTGCATTTCTTATTTTCGTGTAGTGAATCTGCTAGGTTTGCAGCAATAAAAATTAAGAGTGTACATGGTAAACACACTATAAGTGTAAGGACTGCCCAGAAATGGTTTAAAAAATTTAAAGTTGGAACAAGCAGCATTGATGATGAACTCCGTTCAGGATATTTTGAACTGTTAGAACCAAATCAAATGATTCATTTAGAAGTTTATAGTGAACAACTTTGCCGTCTAAACTCGGAGTTGATAAAAAAAAGCCCATAATTGGTGAATATCAAGAAAGTGCTGTTTCATCATGATAATGCATACGGCTAGAACAATGCTGCAAAAAATTAGTGAATTTAATTGGGAGCTTTTGCCACATCCTGCTTACTCCCCAGATATTGCCTTAAGCGATTTTCACTTATTTCGTGCCATACAAAATTTTTTACTGGGAAAAAAATTAAATTCTAAACAGGATGTACACAATGAACTTTCAAGTTTTTTAGCATCAAAACCAGAGTCTTTCTACATCAATGGCATAAAAAAGCTGCCTGTAAGATGGCGAGACATTGTAGATAATGGAGGAAAATATATAATTGATTAAAACGTTAAATTGTGTTTTTTTATATTATTTAAAAATTTACCAAAAGATGGGCATGAATTTATGGACTGACCCAATATATTACTATACAACATAAAAAGTAATATTTAAATTTTAATAGCTAGGTTGTTGTTTATTCATAATAATTCTATTAAAATGAGGGACCCCCCTTTTTTCTTTGAAAGAGCCACGTAAGGTCATGACATGCATTTAAGTGATTTTTGGCTTTTGTTTTGTTGTGCAAAAGTGCTGAACAGTGGCATAGCTAGGTGGGGCAAGGGGGGATATCTGTCCCCGGGCGCAGCATCCAAGTGGTGCCAAATTGATGCTACAATTTTTTTTAATGAAATGTTTTTTATTCTTGGTACAGAAAGGGGTGCAAATTCTTCAGTTGACCCAGGGTGCTGGAATCTTAGCTATGCCACAGGTGCTGAAGATTCCATTTCCTAAAAAAAGATGGTGGAAATAGTTAAAGTGTCTCTAGTGCTGCTTTTGCCAGTTGTGAATAAGCTTCTAACTGTTTACACCCACATTGATCTACTAGTTCAAATTTCCTTTCCATATGCGCATTAGCACATATTTCTATAAGACCTTCTTTTAAAAAATCGTTGTCCATTGAATTGTGATCAAACAAAAATGGATTGAGTATCCATCTATTAATTTTACTAATATTTCCGTGGAAAAGTATCCATCGAATGATTCCCTCAATTGGTGGAGGTGTATTATAATTTCTCCTAAATTAGTGATTATTTTTTTGTTTTCCGAAATGAAAGAATTAAGCAAAGGAAAGGTTTTTAAATTCCCATGTTCAACTCAACATCTCCCAAGTTTAAATTTTTCAATATTTTCTTTTTTCAATGTATAGTGAAAACACTAATAACTAACCGCAATGATCAACATTAGCTGGTTGGATGCTTATTTTTTAGAGCTGGCTTTCATATCGTTCGCTATTTGCATTAAAATATTGACACTGATATCTTCAATGAGTGATCTAATTACATCATTCAATGGCAGAATTTGTTAAATTTTCTTTTGTGCTTCAGAAATGAAAAAAATTTTTACAATTTCAAATGCACATGGTTTTAATAGTTCTTCAACTATCGTACAGCCTTTTGTTCTTCTCAGCACAGAAATACTCTTACTTGATAAGAAGCTTCTAGCAAAGGCTCTTCAACTGCTGCAACATTAAATTTGGTAACAGTGTCATTGGCATCAAATCAGGCTTTCTTAGATTTCAAAATGTAATGACTGTATTATCGAAACGGTCTAACAACTATGAGGGTATAAGATTGGAGTGAAAAAATATTTTGCAACATAAAAATACATTGGGGTCACAGTGTACAATCTTTACCTGTTATACAGTACAAAGTCTTTAATCCGCACTCGTCGGGACTTCGACAATTCCGAATTAGGGGTTTTTCCGGATTATAGATCATCAATTTAAATCTGATAAGATAGCATGCAGAAATTATAAAATTAAAAATATGAAACCGTAATTTATGAAAAAAAAAAAGAGCAATTATTATCTAAAGGGCATCAAAATTTACACACATACACACACACAAAAAAAAAAAAAAAAAGCTCAATATTTATTTGTTTACTTTATTAAACATTTCTTTCAATGTAAGTTGTTTAAGTTGCTTCGTTTTTGTGCTAATACTTTCTCTTTAATTTTATAAACAGACATAATTTCTTGTTCAGTTCCACTGTTCAAGTCCTGTAATTGCTGTGCCGAAAATACCGACTAACTTGTCAATTGAAATTTTTTCATTTTCAATAACCTCTCTGTCACTTTCTTCACTATCGGAAGCGGTACATCGAAACATTCTTTCACTTTGTAGATCCTTTGGCAGCTCCAGAATCGGAAACTCTTTCTGACATAATCGAAAGTTCAAGCTTACTTTTTTATAAAATTGCTCTAACAATCTGCAAAAACTAATAAGCCGGATCCAATTAGAAGATTAAGGAACAACGCAATCTGCAACATTAACTGAAATAGATAATTTTAGCCTAGCTTATACCATCCGTTATACATTAAATGCGCATGTGTAAATGCACTTTTTTATTGCCACGTTGTTCTTTCATTTATGGTAACCTGAGTAGTTGAATGTTCCGTAAATATACTTTTACCTAGAAATGGGTGCTTCTTTGATTTTTCAAGTGAAAATATATCAATGTGTACATGGACAAAATCAAGGGAGTGTGCAATGCCAAGTTTGTGCAATTTTCTGATTTTTTTTTTAAGTGAAAATAGGTCGAGGTGTACATAAATAAAGTCAAAGGAGTGTGCAAATGCCTAGTTTGTGCAATTCTGTGATGTTTTCTTAAGTGAAAATAGGTTATTGTGTACAAATCGCTGTTACACAAAGCCGAAATAACAAGTCAAAGAATTGCACAAACTCAGTATCCATGTCCCACGAAAAATTGCCAATTTTCACCAAGGGGTACTGTAAATATACTTTTACCATTTTCTAAAAACACATAACTTCTTGGAAATACAATAGTTTCAACTTGGATGTGAAATACAATTTTTTGAAGTAGAGTTGTACCTTAACTTGAGAGTTCTGACTTGGTAACCACAGTTTATAGTGTGCATGGAGGGGGGGATTTTCTGAATACATGCCAAATTTGAAAGATAAATATGGTAAAATACACATCCAATAGTGTTGTCTTACTACAATATCATAACCACTAGAACTTGCATTTCTTTTGGACCAATATAATCAAACATGCTGCATAATCTGTTAGCCATAAGATTTGAACACTTCTTTGCTGCCCTTTATAATTATAAATATATACTTACATCTTATCCCTCAGATTTGTGAGTTTTTTTTTTTTTTTCTTTGTTTACACTCAGCTTCATAGTTATAAATGCATAGGCAGGATATTGCTATTATCGGTAGCCCCAAGCAGTATTTTACTTGTCCTTCTTCATTTCCAGATCCATAGTTCTTCATTAAATTTACATCCCTAGTATTTTCCCTACTTTTATTTGTGATATGTTAACTATTATGTTTTCATTGTTTTACTAGTAAATGGGTGACTTTTATTAGTCCTTGAAACCACACATACGAGTACAACACAGAAGAGAAAATGCATTTCTTCATTTATCATCTGCCTGTCGCAGATTATCAGAATTGCTTATTTTCATACATATATGGAAAAAAAAAAAAAAAAAAAAAAAAAATACAGCATACTTAGTGCACAGTAATTTTGCATTGCATATAGTGGAACAACAGATAGCGTAAAGTAGAGCATAAAATACTTTATTTTTATTATATTTAATTTCAGTTGTATCTTACAGTGTGTAGTTTACCATCTAAACCTGACTGTGTTAGTATGTGTACATAAATGTTTTGTTTTTATACAGCATTTGCAATTATCCTCAATTAATCTTGAAATACATTGCCTGCAGAATGGGAGTATTACGGTGTTTTGTATTTGTTTTATCTTTTGGCTAAAAACCTGCATATTTTAAATACTCAATTTTGTAATAAATAACTGCATCAGTAACAAATTGTTCAGTTTTTTCAAAATCAGACAACACAGTCGGGATGTCAAAAAGAACAGAAAAAGTACTTACACAAATGTTTAAAGAAACAAAACATGCACGATTAAGATAATACCTGTTTCAGATTATCCAATATAGGTTTCAATATTTCATTTACTTTTTCACAACCTCTTAAAAGTACTTTTCTTGGAGCTGCAGTATCTTGAACTTTTAAATGGATGTAAAATTCTTCACCCTAAATTTAAAAAAGAATTATTATATGCTTTAACATCTGGAAAGTTCTCCAGAAGAAACAAAAAGAAATTATCCATAATTAGTTTAGTTACTATTAATTATCCATAATTAGCAGTTAAAAATAAAAGTACCATATTTTCAAGTTGCCTATTTTATAATTGGAGTGCAAATAAGTAGCTGCAATTTTTTTTATCAAAAATGGCCATTTATAGTAAAATAATGGTATGTTATGTTTTATTCAAAGTATTGTCCGTCATTAGCCACTACTTTTTCCCATCTTTCTAGCAAGATACAGATGCCACCTCAGAAGAATGTTTCACCTTTCGAGGCTATCCACAAACCAATCAAATTTTTGGTATCTTTATATGATGTGAAGCACTGCTGAAACAGGCCATGCGTCATCAACTGAAACAAGTAATAATCAGAAGGAGCAATGTCTGGTGAACACAGTAAGAGAGAAAAAAACTTCTTGACCTTTTTCTGAAAAAGTTTTCACAGTGTTGCAACATGTGGATGAATGTTATCATGAAGGATGATAATGTCATGTCTGGAGTAGTAGCGGGCACATTCTTCTTCAAGTGCTCGGCTTAGTCTCATCAATTGTGTTAGTTAGAGAGATTTTGTTCAGTTTGAGACACTCATAATACTAACTCCAAGTTCTACTTGCATTTGACACAAATCTTCATGCAATACTGCTTCCAATTTCATGTGTTTGAAAATTTTTATCCTTTTGCTCTATTCTTCGTCAAATTCACTATTGTTAAACTTTTGAAACTACACACAACATTTTCTCTCTCTTAAGGCAGCCTCAACAGAAGCATCTTCAAGCAATCGATGTGCCTCAGCTGCAGATTTCTTCAAATTAAAGAAGTAAATCAAAAGTTCCCACAAATGGCACTCATTCAGCTCACAGTTTATGATGCTAATAAAAAATTGCAAATATTTCAAGGATATGTTGTTACTGATGTCTAACCTTACAGTATGACATTTTATGTCAGACAATTTAACCATAACTTACTAGTGGTGCCATTTTGTTCCAAACGGCAGAGACTTATTTGTACTCCCAATAATTTTTAGATTATATGGGACACATTAAGAAACTAAGTTCTGTTTGGCAACATTTCTTATGCAGTGCATTAGGCTATACATTGCAACCATGAAATGATTTCCTTAGCCCTTCAGAAACAAATGACACCATTGTTTTAATTTCTTTTAATTAAGCTATTTAAATGCTAGTCTTAAAATTTTAAAATATTTAATATACCTAAAAATTCAAACAAATGAGAACTATAATTTGTCATTTAGCTTTTTAATGAAAAAAACATAATCTGATAGATTTTTATGTCAAATTTGTGAAATTTATGGACCATTCTAGGACTGATTCAGTGACAATAAAATGAGTAGAAAATTTTATACAGATCATAATAATATTGTTACGGTTTTCTTTTCTGACACCAGTTGTTACGTTATTTTCTTCCTTTACGTTCCCCACGGGGTTCGTGTGGATTTCGAGTGAATAACGATGACAGCACTTGATGGAATATTGAAACACACTTTATTTACCAATATTAATCAGGACAGCTCCAAAATCACGTGTTTACAGTCGTCGATAAACAACTATAAACACGCTGACACGATCAGCGACACAGCCTCCACGTTATCAGGCTATCACGGTGGAGGCAGCTTCATGGCAAAGCACTAAAGTACAGCTCTCGACTCTGCTTGGTCATTCTTGAAACTCCACATACTCTCGAGACTCTCCCCGCTACAACTTGCGATGCACTCGACGACACATAGAGCACAGCTCCCGACTCTTCGCTTCAGTCGTTCCTGGAGCTCAACACGCTCTCTCGACGATGCACGAACCGCAATACACTACGAGACTCTTTCAGTGCACTCGATGACCCACTTGGCACTCGCTGCCTGGCTGCCAACTCGATCGACTCCGCAGGGATTGACTTGCTAGACAAGACACTAACTCTTCGTGTACCAGCAGGGTTTATATAGCTATTGGCTGGTGTTCGAGAACATTCTGGGCTAAACCGGTAAGAATTCGTTCCAGAAGGTTCTCCATCCATCCATGGCATATAACCAATTTTGTCGATAAATGTCGCCAAATGGGCGATTTCTCACCAGATGTGGCAACCCTGTCTTATCTTGACATATTATGGAAACCCTAAAACTGCTTTGCAAAGAAGCTATATCACTGCGCCTGGACATTTCGTAACAATATTCATATTTAACTGCCCAACTGCACACATTCTCTCATCACTAACGTATTATCTCATTGACTTAATTGAACTCATAACGTATTATTTCATTGGCTTTGAAAGTTCGCAACACTGAACCATAAAAGTTGGCAGAGAGCTCCCCAAAGTTGCACTAGTCTCCCTATGAATTCTAAAAGAACTAACATCTCTTTATTTAATAAGCAGTCAGTATTCAATCAACATTGTAGAAAGTCTTTCGTGAATCTGTACTGTTTTAAGCTCTTTGATTTTACGAGAACTTCTGTTTAGAATGCTGAGTATACCTGTGCAAAGTTTGCATAAACTGCTTCATAAGCCATATTCAGCTGACGGTAGGGTACAAACTGCGCAAAATTTGATCGAAGATCCCCCTCCCCCTCTTATCTAATCCATGAACTGTGCAACATTTCCTGTCCCCTCTTTCTTTGCCAAGAAGATTGGGTGCTACAAAAAGTCATTTATCGCCATTAATGGGACATTTTATTGAGACTGCAAGCCTCTATTTTCATTTATCAAAATTGTAATAACTGCGCATACAAAACAAATATTAATTTAAAGTCTGGCGTGTGCTAAAGTAAAAATGAATTTCTTTTACACTCATTTTAAAGTTTTATGATGCTTAAAAGAATGATGAGCCAGATCTTCTTTTATTCTCTGTAAGAATTAAAAACTCTAGAAGCTGTAGATTTTAGTCGCTGATATATATATATATATATATATATATATATATCAGTTTTGAATAATAAAATTGATATATTAATAATATACACAAAACTGATACATAATCAACCTATCAAATATCAGATTTCTAGGGCACTTTAAATAAGTTTTTTGTCTAGATAAGTATTAACAAATCTTCTTAAATAGCAGATTGGTTTTAACTTTCAAATTTACCATTTTAGGTAAACAGTTCTAATTTAATTTAAACAATTCTCTTTATTAAATCTAAAAATTGGATTTCTTAAGTGGTTCTAAATTCACACTAATATTATTGCAATATATTGCCGTATTAAGCTTTCCATTTTTAGTCATTGAAGTTATTTTAAGGTTACTTAACTTTCTTACAAATTCCATATTTTAATACTAGAAACGTTTAACTATTTATTCTGTTTTCCAGTTACTCTACCTGATGTACTTTGGCATACATTTAATTTCTAATGCACATTTAATTAATAAATTCATAATTATGAGCGTCTGCAGAATTTTCATAATTAACAACAAAAAACAAATAAAAAAAAATCAAACTCCCTTATATTCATATCTTGGGATTTTCAGTTCCCTTTTAATCCATTCCTTTTTCACATCTTATTGCGTGTTTCAAGTTTACATGTATGTAGACATTTATATATTTTTATTATTTTGCAACTTATGCCATTATATTTTAAATTTTTTCAGCAGTATTGAAAAATAGAAGATACTGATAATGTTTAAATTTGGATTACAATGATTTAGATTGCCATTGCCTTCTTCACTGATGCTTTTATGCACCTACATTCCTAATATTTCATAATACATACAGATCAGATAAGTTTAACTCATTCACCAAACATGAAATTCAGCCGCCCAATTTTTGTATGTGGTGTCTTCTATTTTTTATATGTTTAGCCTAATTCAAAAAGGTCTTATGATCAAGCGATTAGAAAAAGTCACTAAACGTGTAAGTTTCGTTCTGAGAGTCCCAGAGATCTCCCAGGTAACTTTCGCATTAATTTTCTCCTTGGCATTTACCTTTTTAACAAATCCTTCTAACAAGAAAAAATAAGGAAAAAAATGAACCTTGGTGATTGATTCATCCAAAAGCATGTTAAATGTCTGCAATAGGATTATTCCAAATTTTCTTAATGTTATTCCAGAATTTTCATTTTAACTTTTTCAGTTTATATAAACATTCAGCATTTCATTTCTAGCCATGGCAACTTTGCATACCTTCTGACAAGTAGTTATTTTTTAACCACTGTATTTTAATTCCTGTTGATTATCAGTACTTATTTTCAATTGTTTCACAAGTGCAAATATTTATTTTATACGCAAATCTCTACATAAAATAGCAATAAAACTTCAGTTATGCAGAGCTCCTGATCAATTGCTTGTTTTAGAATTGAATGAAACTGTTAATGCTTGTTATTAATTTAATTACACATTTCTAATTAATTATATGTTCAGATATTTCCAAGTATATTACTCAAACTTTTGCATCCCAATTTTTAATTTTTGGTTAAAAAAATAAACTTTTATTTATTGAGCAGCCTGATTATTATATTAATTTGCAGTATTGTTTATCTAATTCCTTTTTTCTTTTTTTTTTTTTTCTTAGCATAATAATTAAAATTTATTTACAATTTATACAGTGTTCCAAATGCATAGTAAGTTGTTATAATAGATTCTGCTAAGCTTTTTTTAAATTTAACTAAATTTAATTTGCAAAATTTACAAATTTACATTTAACAAAAATATTTTTTTAGCACACTTTAACACACTTGATATGGAATAATTTTTGCAGGCTAGTGAACTCTATTAAATTTTTTCAGTCTAGTTCAGACATCTTGACTATTATTGAGGTAATTTATTAAAAATATAATTGGTATGCTTTACAAATATTTAATTTATGATATTATTATAATAAATGAAAGATGTTTGTAATGCTAATATGTATGTTTACTAATACCTTTTATTTTCTTTGTTAGCTCTCATATTTATTACTGTTATTCAAGTAATTAGCCTGCTTGTTAGATATTATTTTACTTGTTCTTGT